CTCAGGGTCAAAATTCGGCCATAGATAGTTCTCCAAATACTGACTCACTTCCAATATCATAACTCGCTGAAGTGGAACAGGTTTACGACCACTAGTTACCTTAAGCTCCGTCACATAAATCTCCTTTACAACCTCCGGATCGAACGGCTTCTCCGGTAGCTTTCCTCCAGTCTTAATCCAGCTCTCCTCAGCAATTTTCGTTAACCTATCTTGCTGAATCTCCGATAAAGTGATGGAGCTCGGTAAATTGGATCCAGGCTTTGCTTCTAGTGGCTTCTCAGCAGGATGGCTAGGTAACTCCAATGGATACTCCGCCACTCTGTGGCGCTTGAAGTCATACGTGCCTGTTCCATAGACCTTCGTCATTTCTCTCACGCGAAAGCTCGTTGCTCAGAGAGAAGTGAGAATCAACACATACAGAGAACGAAGAAGCTCAGAGAGTGGGGAAGAGTAAGTTGGGATTTTTAGGGCTTAAGCCTCGCGGAGGTGAATCTCATCGACGTCGAAGATAAAAGGCGGTGTTTAGTATTTACGACCCGAACCGACCCGACTGATGCTAGTTTAGTTGCAGCTGGACTTGGGCCGAGATTGGGCTAAAATTTATTAATAGTCTGGACTGGATCTAGCAATAATCTTTACTGAATCGAACCAAAATTGATCAAATACTAATACCAAATTTCTTATGAGTAATTCACTAATTTGAACCAAATAAACCTAACCGAATCCAAATTTTATGCGATATGATTCAACTAAACTTGAATTCATTACAATTCATATTTTGATTCATAGAAAAAACTAAATATAAGGTTGTGTGCATAGTAAAACTAAATTGAGCCAAACTAAACCGAATCGAATCAAAATTGATCAACTCATAAAACCGAACGAGAAATTTGTTTCTTATACCAATCTAAACCGAAGAAAACGAACTGTGATGTGTCATTCAGTGACCAATGATGAAATGGATGGGTGGTGATGTTGCAGCCACGAGTCTGTGAAACTTTGCCACTCCAAAAATGGCTAACCAGCTCTTCTCTGCACCAAATCATGGCTTCTTTCAACCACTCTTGGCTCTCTTCTCCACTCACCGAAACTCCCACTTTCTTTTTTTCTCCATCTCCACATCCAAAATCCTTGAAACTCTCACTTTTCCGAACTCGGAGCAACTCGTCCTCGCCGGAACGCTCGTCGGAGGTTGAGCTCGCCATCGATCCGGTGAAGCTCGCATTGAAGAAAGCCGAAGCTTATAAGAAATCGAAATCAGAGCAAGAAGAACGAGAGCAAAATGCCGGCGACGAGGAATTGCCACTCTCTGTTAAGGCTGCTATGCAGAAAGCCAATGATTATAAGAAAAGGAAAGGGCTTGGAGCTGATGATGTCGAGGAAGCTAAACCCAGTTCAGTAAAAAACTATCTTTTGCACAAAATTCTTGTAACTGTCTTTGCTTGAGTTTGTATCAATGCACTTTTCCACTAGGCTTTAGTGTCATTCATGTGTATTTCGTTGCCTGTTCCTTGAAAAGATTGGTTTTTGATTGGTTTTAGGAGTAAAGCCTTTGAATTTTAGCTGTACTATTGGAGAATTGTTCAAGTTAAGCATTCAAGTGCTTGTCAATTAAAACATGATCTTGATTCTGATGTGTTTCAGGTAGTACAGAGCAAAGTTTTGTTAGATCATCAAATAAGGTTGTTGAAGATAATGATGTTAAGAAGAAAGAATTGAAAGTCTCCAGCATTGATTTCATGGGGCTTGGTTTTGCTGATAAGAAGAGCACAAGGGGGCTTCCAGCGGGACTTGTTCCTGTTGTTGACTATCTTCCTGAAGGAGACTTACCTGAGGTGGAGTTTATTGTTGGTGATAAAACAAGATTTGCGGAGAAAGAAAAGGAGGTCGAGCAAGAAGGAGATGGAAACTCTGATGTGTATAAACCCAAAGTTTCTACATGGGGAGTTTTCCCAAGACCTAGCAACATCTCTAAGACGGTATGTGACTGGCCCATCATATGTGTTATACTGGATTAGTTGTTCCAAAAACCCCAAGGGAAAGAAGTTCCATGTTCAATGTTGTTAAGATAGGGTTGATAGAGCCATTTACTTCAGATATTTAGAAGTAGGAGTACCAGAAAGGTTTCATGGGTTTATCATTTAGTTCGCATATCATTTAGTCTACTCTGAAATATGATGCATCAAAAATGACTTGTTTGTGTATTTTCCTCTAGCAATAAGTACATTCTGGATTGTTGGCTATGGTATAAAAACTTGCTTAGTATTCTGAAGTGGGCTAGATACAGATAGTTCTTTGAATTGTTTGAATAATTCATTCTTGTCGATGGCTGCAAAATTCTATCAACTCTGCCTGATTTATATCCCTCGTTTTAAGGCGTTTTAAGTGATGTCAAAAAAAAAAGAAAAAAAATATCCCTCCTTTTAAGCTAGATGATAAGTAAATACATGTATATGTCCTAAAACACTATGTTCTCCAAGTAGCATTTGCACTAGGTTTCTGAACAACTTGAAACTTCTAAAACTAATCCATTCATGGTCATGAGCGTGGGAAGCCAATTTTGGCTGTATGAATTTGCATCTTCTGATGAGAAGTTTATCAACTCTTAACTTCAATGGTTTTGGAATGTATACTTTTCCGTTAACATCTATGGTCTCAAGTCATGAGGATTGAGATATATACTTTTCTTGTTTAAGTTTGGTGGTGGAAGGACACTCCGACCGGGGGATTCAGTTGAGACCGCTGAAGAGAGGATTTTGAGAGAAGAACAGACAAAAAAATTGCTCATAGCCTACAAGGAATCAATCGGACTGAACATTGATCCCAAACTCAAACTTGAGTGTGAGAAGGTACTCCAAATACATTTTTGTTCTTACAACTTTTTTGAGGACAGACCTGATGCTGAAGTTAATTTGGATGTAATATTGCAAAACAATCTCATCTACAGAAAAAAAAATTTTGCTCTCAATGAGAATGCTCCAATCTATATCTTATAGAAAATTTCTAGCTGCTGTCTTTAGAATCCTATTTATAGATCATATAGAGCTAGGATATGGGTTCAGCTGAAACTGTGCAATGGACTCATGTTCACTCAAGCAGATTCTCTTAGATTTGCACGTTGTCACATTTTCTAGAAAGTTGAAAAATTGATTTGAGAGGAGAATAACTAAAAAAGGTTATGTGCTTTATCTACAGGCATGTCTGCTCCTATCTGTGTTTCAAGGTAGCTAGAATCGTTTTGCTCATCATTCACTTCTTCCCTTGATTGTGATACTTCAATTATAACAGGCAATAGACGAAGGGAATTCGCTTATGGATTCTGGGAAACTCAAGGAAGCTTTGCCATACTATGAAAAGGTCATGGAGAAAATAGTTTTCAAGGTAATTTCTGCAAATCTGGTTTATTATTCATCTTATACTCATGTCTACGTTTATGCATTAGTCTACTCATACCTTTTCTACATATGCCTTACTCGTTTTGACTACATGAGAACTTGTTTATTATCTACCCATCAGTATGTATGTGGAGCAAAAATTCAACAAGCTTATATAACAGCCAACCACATAATCAGTAAAAGTATTTTAAGGACCTGATTATTTTGCATTAATTAGTTTCTTGCTTTGTTGGGTGTCACCTTATCGAAATCTTAATCGATTGATCCACCTAGATCACCTAAAGTTCTTATGATCGCTGTAGTAGATGTGACCTTAACTAGTTCCGACTTTAGTTGTGCAGAGTGAGCTTCATGGACTAGCGGCTTTGCAGTGGTCTATTTGTCAGGATTCACTTCGAAAGTAAGTTCTTCTCTCCTTATAATTTCGCTTGATGCAACTACATGGTGACAAGTATTTCTTCATGAGTATATATTTGTATTTGTAAACCATAGTCCCAAAACTCTATCAAGCTCCAAAAGTCCCCAAAGAAAACCACAAAATACTAGTTTATACCTACCAAGTTGATGGCTCATTTGTGAATGTTCTAAAATATCCTCAAAAGTAGTCTTGTTGAGTGATGTCAAAAGCAAAAAAAAAGTAGTCTTGTTGAATATTCGCCTTATGGGATCTTCTGCTTTAAAAATGGATTTTTGGAGTGACTGACAGGACAGACAAAGCAAGGCGCATGTATGAGAAGCTTATATCCCACCCAAACCCGGGAGTGAGCAAGAAAGCGAGGCAGTTCATGTTCAGTTTTCAGGTAAGTCAAACACCCACAAAAGTATTATACCAACAAAGCACAACAAGCAGATAGTTGAGTTTGCTATATATCTGACTATGATCGGACAAGAGCCAATTCAACTCTTTTTGTTTGCTTATTGTGTGTCTAATGATAAAAAGAGTTGGCTTAAGAAATTGTTACGCCCAGAGATAGCTCTTAATATACCATAACTCATAGCGGTTTCAATCCAGTTTTGGCAAACAGTTTCCCTGAAAAATGTGAGGGTTTTTCTTTACACACTTGTAGGCAATGGAGATGCTGAAGGTTAAGGGGTCAAGCTTCATGGAGGGAAATACTGGTTATCAGGACTACTTTGAAGCCTTTGTCAAAGATAAAACGAATTACAAAGCGCAGGAGGAAAAAGAAGGAGAGGCAATGGGGATAAATGAGACACTCCTATATGTGATTCTTCTTGCATCTCCGATTCTAATGGTCTTCATTGTGGCTGCACAGAGAGGGAATATGCACTGAAGACACAAATTCTTGTCAACTTCTTACATGTAAGTGTTGTATATATATGAAGTAATCCATTTTATTACAGTTAAGGATTATGCACACAAAGGTTCTTTTATTAATTGAAAGAACATAACAGAATATGAGAATCAAACACCAAAGAGAATATATAAACAAAGCTAGTTGATCCTAGTGTCTTCTATCTTTGGATGAGACTAATACTTCATCTCTATAAATACTAAAACACAAAACAACCCAACTAGGAAAAGAAGTATGATTGAATAAAGAAATTGATACCCATCTTTAAAACTAGGAATCCCCAAGTTTTAACCACACTTTTCACATTTCATTCAAATAATGCTAAACCCTGAGTCTCATAAGATTTGATCATCCATGGCCCACATCACATGTCACAAATCCGGACTACTTCTTGGTCTGTCCCTGACCGGCCGCTGAGCCACCTTTACCTCCTCCCGCAGAACTACCAGCTCCACCGGCTCCACCAGCATTGACCGTTGTAACTTTAAACCTTTCATTTTTTAGATCTGATGGACCCAAGTTAACCCCTTTCGAAGTGACACGTGGCGAACCAGCACTGAGACTCCTCTGCATAGTCGTTGACTTTGTAGGAGGACGAGAATCTTGTTTGAATTGGGACACAGCGTCTCCGATTTTGTTGAAGAAACCAAGAAACTCTTCTTTAGCTGCACCTGGAAACATCTTTTTAAGCAGCTGAAGTTGTCCCACGTAAAGCTCTCTCATATACTCTAAAACCATCAAGACTCGCATGTCCATCCTTGATCCCTCATCATCATCACCATCACCATCATAATCAACATCATCATTTTGTTCTTCATAAACTCTGTGGTAGCTATCTCCCATGTCGCTGTATTGTCTCTTCATACTCCCACTTCTCAACCTTGTAGATTCAGGGTCATCAAACAATCCAAAGAAGAGACTGTTCTTGCAGTTGTTGTCTTCGTCCTTTGTGGATTGGTGATTTAGAGAATTGATGTTAAGATGTTTCTTCCCCATAGACATAATTATTCACAATCACCACAGAAAGAAAGAAGTTGGCCAAATCTTTTGAGCAGCGTATCTTTTGTTTCTTTTGTTTAGAGTATGTTTCAAGATCTGAAGAAACGAAGCAAGAATATGTTTAGATATAAAAAGAAATGAAGATTTGGAAGCAAAATAATGTGGAGAAAGATAAGATTTTTTGCTTGTTCCCGACTTGTCAACACGACGTTGTCACGACTTCTTCAAAGAAGACTAGAAGATGGGTCCGAAGCATTTGATTTTTATTTTTATTTTGCTTCTGGCCAATCATGAAGCGCCAGTGATGCAATTGTCACCATTCTTGAGTAGTTTCTTGGGAGAAGCTGCAACTTCGGAGATAAGTGCATACATTACACATTTTTCATAACGTGTAGAAGAAGTAAAGATTGTACGTAAAATACATTAGTAAATTCCAAACGGCGGAGACTTATCTGCTTTTGATGGTTAAAGTTGTGGAAAGTAAAGTTTGCACGGATAATACTAACTTGTATTTCGAAACTCTATAATTATATGTAATCAAATTCATAAACACTTAAACGAACGATCATATAGTATTCAAGAAATTCACATTCAATTTACCTCTCGTAATATATTAAAACTCTACTAAAGAACTTTGAACCTTACAAAATTTTGATTTATTAATTAAAAGTACTCCACACCCCAAATATGTTGATAATTTCGTATTACACATAATCTTTTTTGTTTCAGTGTTTCAAGAGCATTATATTCAGTTTCACTTTCAATTAAAAGCATTATATTCACATATTAAAAAACTAGTGTAAACATTTTATTTAATCAATGAACTTAATGTTGCGTGTTTATAAACCAGATGAGGAGCTGGTTATCTGCGATTTAAGAGGAATTGGTGAAGACTTGAAAAGTAGGGGAGGGTTTCAAGGGAAAGCGAAGTAAAAACAATGACTCTGAACACGTCAGAGGGTTTGTCGTTACATTGGATAACAGTATAAAAATGTTACATTAAATACTCTGTTCTCTACTTACACATACTTCTTCGAGTTGTATCCAAGAGTTCATTGAGCTGTTTCTCTCTCGATTCTTGCTTGTTGTTCATAGTGGATTGTCGGACTGAATCTGATCGAGGCTTATGATCCAATCAAACTCGTAAAAATGTGTTTATTTTCGTTATGTTTCATCGATCTTTCTTGTGCGATTCCGTTCTAAAAAACCTATTGCGATCTATTCTGTTTCTGAGAGATTATGAATTTGCAACGAAGATAAGATGTGTTTAGTCCATGGTTGAATCAAATAATATCTAGCTTCCTTATTCTAGAAAGCATTATGTGTGAGAAAAGAATTGTCATAATATTATTCTTGACACACCTTTGTGGACTAAACTAAGAAATTTTAAAAATCAATATAGAGTAGTACTTTGTCGGTTCAAAATAACAAAACAATTTGAGATTCGTTGTTAATTTGTGGGATAAGACAGGAGCCTAAAAAAAAGATTTGAGTGAGAAAGACAAAATAACATAATGCGCATTATTTCGTGCAACACGAAGAAGCCAATAATTAATCATCCCTTAAAAAATGGGCACAATAATAAAAGAGAAGTAGACCCACCCACCAAAACCAATCTCTTTATCAGTAGTGCTTTGTCCAAATCACAAAAGTTATTCAAATCTTTCATTTGTTTTAAGTTTGAACCAAATTCACGTAAAGTTACAAAAGGCACTAAGACAAAACCGCACACGTATCTTTACCCTACCGGCTACCACCATTGAAATCTTCCCATTTTCTTCTGCTCTAAACAAACAACAATAGCTTTGTCTTCAGGCAAAGCAAAAATAGGAAAGATGGTTCAGAGGAAGACTTGTCTAACAATCGAGTCTTCTTCCAATCTCCAGCCTGAAACTCGATTCGGACAAGAACATCTCAAGAACCTTGGACCGGAGATGATGATGATGAAGAGAACTAAACCAAGGAGGAAGCTTAAAGACAATCATGTTTCTTCTCAATCAGGTAAGTCACAAGAACTACCAAAGCATGATCTTGTTGTTAAAGAGATAGGTGGTTCACCTAATTACATGAAAGGCACCAGTAGTTCTGAGGCAAGAAAGGAGAACAAGAAAAGACTTAATCTTTCAAGGAATCAGAAGAACCAAGCTGGTCTAAAACATGATTCTCGTTATGGAGTTAACAAGGAAAGAAGTTATAACAAGCCGAGTTCTAGGATCGGTAGAGGTTTGACAAAGGCTCCGAGTTTCAAGAGATGTTCACAGAGAGCTACTTGTTCTTCAACTCTAAAAGATTCCAAGTTTCCAGAGTATTTGATGCTTAACCATGGCGAGACTTTTGATCAAGTTAATGGAACCTCTGTTTTGAAAGTCTGTCCTTACACGTATTGTTCACTCAACGGTCATCTTCACTCGGCGCAGTATCCTCCTCTGAAAAGCTTTATATCTATGAAGAGACAGAGTTTAAAGTCCCAAAAGAGTGTGAAAATGGAAGCTTCTAAGGAAGAGTATGTTAAGATGGATCTAGAGGAGAAGAAAGATTTTGAGAATGGAAATGGAAGTGCTTCTGAGGTTGATATTGATAGTCAAATCTCGGAAACTGTTTCTGAAGGAGCACCTCATTCTGAAACTGATTCTGATGATTACTCTGATAGTGCTGAGATGGTGAGTTTATCAGAAGGTGATCATGACATTGAGTTAAAAGAATCTGGTTTGGAGGAGACTTTGGTAGATGACTCTGTGAATGAGGTACAAGAGAAAGTAAACAGAGATGGAGATGCTGATCTTTTGAAAGAATCTGATTTGGAGGAGACTTTGGTAGAGGACTCAATGAATGAGATTCAAGATGAAGGAAACAGAGATGGAGATTCTGATCACTCTGGTTGCTTTGATTCTGAAGTTATCGGTATAATCAAGAACTCAGAAGAAGATAATGCAATTGAAGAGACTTTGGTAGATGACTCTGTGAAAGATCTCGAAGAGACAGCAAACATAGATGGGGATGCTAATCTATTTGGTTGCTTTAATTCAGAAGTTATCGATATGACAAAGAACTCAGCTGCAAGTGATGCTATTGAGGATAAAGATGCTGCTGGTGAAGAGACACTAAAGGATAAAGCTGAAGAATGCAAAGAGGAGTTTCAAGACCAGACTGAAGTTATTTTGATGATAGAAGAAAACGAAAAGGTTCCATTTAACCGTACACGAAAACCCTGCAACCAAGAAGAGCCAGACTCTGCCATTTCATGGACTATCATCAAATGCAAGAAACCCGTTGCAGAGACCGAGGATTTAAGAGCATTCAACCCAAGAGAACCCAATTACCTTCCAATTGTAATGGAGGAGGATGCTGAGAAGGTGGACCTCAAGCATCAAGACATAGATGAGAGGAGAAACTCAGAGGATTGGATGTTTGATTATGCTCTGCAGCGTGCTGTTAGCAAACTTGCCCCAGCAAGGAAGAGGAAAGTTGCATTACTCGTCGAGGCATTTGAAACCGTGCAACCACATGGTAGAGAACCTGCAGAGGTTTTAAGTTATGGAAGACACCTTCAAGCCTGCAATTAAGGAAGGTAAAATAATAACAGTTCTTATAATTCAGCTAGTAAACCAAGTAAGTTGCAAGTTCTGCTTATGAACACCTTTTTTGCTGCAGGTCCAGGGATGATCCAAGGAAGGCAACTGAAGGAAGATGAATGACTTTTATTTATTTATTTACTTACAAGAACCAAACCCAAGTGTAAACTTTGATGGTTTATTTTCTAGCTCTTTGTGTGGTAGTTATGCTCCCTCAATGTATGAGGACTTGTGTAAGTGCTTGCTTGAGGACTAATTTCTGGGACAATCATGTGTTTGTCTAGTTCCATATAGCTATTTAAAATTGTGAAACAATCAAATGCTGTTGTCATCAGTTGCTATAGATGTTGAGTGTTGTTATCATCAATTAATCGAGGGTTTCTATTGCTTTCTGTTGTCCGGGTATGCAAATAGTATAGGAAACCAAGAAATCAAGAACCATCATCCTTAATCATGTAAGTATTAGCAAAATAACAGAAGTATGAGTCTAAAATGAGAGACCTACAAGTTAAAATGAGCCCATATACACTGAAGGACGTCCATGAGAGAGCTAATATAACTAGCAAAGCACATAGTAAATTGAGACTTAGGACTCGGAGACAGATACTCAATCCTTGGTGACTTTGTTGACAAGGGACTTGTGGATGTGAGGGATCACACCTCCTCCTGCAATTGTTCCTTTGATGAGAGTGTCAAGCTCCTCATCTCCTCTGATTGCAAGCTGCAAATGTCTTGGTGTTATTCTCTTCACTTTTAGATCCTTGCTTGCATTTCCAGCTAACTCGAGAACTTCAGCAGTTAAGTATTCTAGAATTGATGCAGTGTAGACAGCAGCAGTGGCACCAACTCTTCCATGTGCTGAAACTCTTTGCTTGAGTTGACGATGAATACGACCCACTGGAAACTGAAAGAAGACCACAATGAAAAAAACAAACATATAACTTAAAGACACAGAGAAATGCTTCCCATCAATCAGACAGATGTCTTCTTGTACATAGATATACATTCAAACTGCAACCATTTATATAGGGGAAACACAATGTATGATAACCAATTACACAAAATCCAATGAGTACAGAAGACACTTAAACTAACCACACAGTTCTTTTATTTGCTTGTTACATCTTATAGGTATTACAACATATCAAGTGATTATCATAGTAAAAGACACTGCAGCAATAAAGCCGTATAAGAAACATAGACTTGTAGGGATTCACTAGTGATATCTACAATTCGGCTTTAACAAGGAAGAATCCCAAAAGTAAACTAATGACAATTACAGAACAATGACTGGATTAGATTCCCAGAAAAGAAAGATGAAGAGAAAACAAACACACACACACACAATTGGTAGTACACTAATTAGTTACAAAACAGAAGCATTCCATTGTATAAAAGTTACTTTTGAATCTAGATAGATAGCACTGTTTTCCAACGTACGCAGCTACAAAGAGTGCATACAAAGAAACCAAGTTTGTGTGTATCAGCCATTGTTACTTTGTAACAGAAACACAGAGCAAAACATATTTCCAGAAACTAGAGAGGCAACAATTTCCCAATAATGCATTAAACATAGAACAAAGTCCAAATCTAGTTCCCAAATCACAAATGAACATAAATCAAAAACCCTAAAGCAAATTCAAACTCAGAGCCACTCGATTCTCAACAACGCAAAAAGAGAAGGAAGCTAGGGTTTGAGGGATACCTGAATACCGGCGCGAGAAGAGCGAGAGATGGATTTCTTCTTACCACTGTCTTTGTTAGCAGCTGCCGCCGTCGTCTTCGCAGCTATAAGCCCTTTCCCGCCTTTACCAGCCATATCTACAGAAACCAAACAAAAGAAAAGAAGTTCAAAATTTCAGAATTCCCAGATCCGTCGACGAAATCAAAGAAGATTACTTACCGATAGAGAAGCAAACAACAATGGAGAAACAAGACCGAATCGTTTGGTGAAGAACCTATCGAAATTCGCGGCGAGAAAATCGATACAGAGACAAAATCGAAACAAAAGAGAAACGTCGAATCAAAAACCCTAACTCAGAGAGGGAAAGTACCTGAAAAGTGAAAACGAGAGCGGGATGCTCGAAAATTGTGCGGGAGAGCTTTTAAATAAGAAATTGGACTTGTTGGGCCTTCTTTTGTTTAGATCTTGTGGATTCGTTTACCTGTCTTATCTCTTTTTATATATTACTGCTACAAAAGATCTTTACTTCCAATAGATTTGACATTTTTTATTTCCTTAACCTAGAAATTTACATTTTTCCCAAACCTTTCCTTATTCAATCCGTAATTTTCTAGTTGAAAAATGGTAATTTTCTAAATTGCTATAATTCTTCTCTTTTTTTGGGTCAACATGTTAACATTATATTTAGTTATCTGTAAAAAATTCGTATAACTCTTGTTTTATTGAAATATAAATATTTTATTAAATCATTTGAAAAAAGATTTGTAGTTAAAAGATAGTGGATTTTACCACCTCACATGATAGTGTTAAAAAAATGAACGTATTTTCTCTTTCAATGTTTTAATTATACATTTTATCAAAAAAAAAAAGATTTAAGTATACATGATACATCACTTGTTATATTTTTAAAAACGCGATTTTTTTCTGTGAAACACCAGTTTGGGTTGTAATATCTTTAATCCGCTTAAATATAAACTATGAGATTACTACGTAATGGTATCTGTACGGAGATACTACAGAATATGCCAAAATACGTATGCACCGCAAAAAGTACGTACGTTGGATACGGAGGGGCGTTTCCGTCATCTCACCCACTCTTTCTCAACTTATTCAGGGTGAATTTGCTAACTGACTCCGGCCTAAGTGGAGTCGCAGACACGTCCTCAATCTGAAAACTCATTGAGGGTAGTTTCGACTTTTTCTCGAACCAATAGCATCGGATCTTAGCCATTTGTGAAGAACCAACACCGTTGATCTCACGACACGTACCCTTGATCGTTTACAGATTTAGCTATTTTGAACACGTAGGATACACACGTGTACATCAAATCCTTTCCCTTTATAAAACCCACCCCCAAAACAAAGCTTATCCTCTTTACTCTTCGCCACATCACAAGATTTTTGTTTTTTTGTTCCGTTTTTCGAAAATTCAGTTTCATCATCCTCTCTGGATTCTTCTTGAATCAATCTACTTTTCAATCGTCGGCGATAATCAAAGCCAGATCTCTGTGTGAATAAATGATGAAATCGACGGCGAGATTTGCGTCTGATTGTCGTTATAATGATCACAACAGCATAAAAGCGTGACGTTTCCGCGTCTTCGCGTATCTCGGAGACTTTAATCCGTATCTAAAGAGCTAAATTTAAAGCGATCTTTCTCTTTTTTCTTTTTATATTTTTTTCCCTGAAGTTTGCCCAGTTTCGAAGTTATTCCATGCTTTATCTTCAATTTTAGATCATAGTTTTCGACAAAAATATTTGGAGATTAGGTTTTAGTTTTTTTTTTGTTCAGCTCGATCTGGATTTGGCGATTTGAATTTTTGAGTAATCGCAATGCCATTTCATATGAAAATCCAACCGATCGACGATTCCGATGTATCGGAAGAGGTACCTTTCCCGGAGACGATGAGACAAATGCCAAAATCGAGGTTGAAGCGTCTCTTTGAGCGTCAGTTCACTAATAAGAACGTTTCGGAGAAATTTTCCGGCTCAGATGTCGAGGCACCTTTATCCAGAGGTAACTCTGGAGATTTTGAGCCGAGCTCGGTTTGTTTGGCGAAGATGGTTCTAAATTTCATGGAAGATAACAATAACGGCGAGAAACAGCGGTGTGGCCGTAGCCGATGTAATTGCTTTAGCGGGAGTGGTACAGAGAGCTCTGACGATGAAACTGAATGGTCTGATGGTTTCAAATGTTCTTCTGGTGAAGCTTGTGAGATCCTCAAGGTATGATTCATCAATTTTGTTCTGGATTCTAGGTTTGTTCGATAAGCGGAAACTTGATGTATGGAGATTTGATTTTGTAGAGTTTGGTTCTCTGTAAGAGCATCCGTGAGAGGAATTTGCTGAGTGATGTGACCAAGATTGTCGAAACAAGTAAGAATTGCAAGCTTAAAGACGAATCATGCTTGGAAAGTGTGGTTAATGGGTTAGTGAGCTTAGGTTATGATGCGGCTCTGTGCAAATCTCGCTGGGAGAAATCGCCTTCTTGTCCTGCTGGTATTGTCTATAACTCTTATCTTCTGTGAAAAGGCAAACTTGTGAAGCCATTTCTTAGCTCCTTGCATGACAATAGAGTTGGTTGTTTTGTGAAATGAAACAGGGGAATATGAGTATGTAGATGTGATAATGAAAGGTGAAAGACTGTTGATCGACATAGATTTCAAATCGAAGTTCGAGATTGCTCGTGCAACAAAGACATACAAGTCGATGTTACAAACTCTGCCTTACATCTTTGTTGGGAAAGCAGATAGGCTGCAGAGGATCATCATCCTTATATGTAAAGCAGCAAAGCAGAGCTTGAAGAAGAAAGGACTTCATGTGCCTCCATGGAGGAGAGCTGAGTATGTGAAATCCAAGTGGCTGTCTTCTCATGTACGTGCAGATCAACACTCAATTGAGAAAGATAAGCAAGAATCAGTAGATATGATCACTGAATCTGTCGGTTCCATAGTCTTTGGTGTCTGAAGGTTTTATATATATGGCATAACCTTCTAGAGAGGTATGAGATATAGGAGTATTCGAATCCCTTAATAGTTTTTGATGTCAAGGGTATGTTACAGGATCCATGCACGCGTAGAAGTGGCTCCCCTTTTGTCTTCTTTTTTTTGGGTGTAAGGGAGAGTGTGATCCAACTCTATGGTTGTTACTCTATGAGGATTAATAGTATTTTATGTTTTTGAGACATTGGTAAATCATAAATATCATTGTGGACGTAAATACTTGTGATAGTGATGAATTTTTGGCGCATCCTTCATATATTATATAACCAAACTGACTATATTTTAAAAACATTAGACCTGTGATGCCAATCCTTTTGCATATGGAATTGTTAATTCAAATACATGTCGTTGACGAAATAAATTACCTTGGCGTGGGGAGCAAGATCCTCGTTAATCAATTTAAAATTGGTTTGTGCTCAGATTCTCAATTTTTATAACGATTATATAAGAACACAGTACTTGCAGAGGTAAAGATCATCTAAACACATTTTGTTAATAGAAATTACAAATCAGTTCTTTGGGGACGACCCATAAACAACAGAACCCAAAAAAAGGCTATGGATTATCCCCAAGGCATCAACAAAGTCTCCACTTCTGTTATTGATAATGACATCAAATTGAAGAAACATAACTTAGAAGCTGAGAAGCGACTCAAAAAAGTGGAACAAGATTATCTCCACACAAGTCAAAAGTACACAGAAACACGAGTAAGTTTTTAAAACATGTAAATCCTGAAGATACATACCACCCAAAGCTCATTATAGTCACTGAAATGCTTTATCTATTTTTGTGGGCAGTCACAGTGGTGGAGCTTAAATGATGAGAGATACCGCGCTGTCAATAGCTGTCACTCTGCTGCAAACTTCATTAACCGCTGCAACAAGCTGGTAGAGCAATTACAGAAGGCTCTTGACAAGCTACCTGAAGGAGAAACAACAGAAGAAACCATTGATCATGTAAATGCTCAATCTCATTATGATCTTAGAGTTATGAGAACCAGCTCAATATATAGAGCAAATCTATATCATATTTAACATACCCTTAAATTTTATTTGCATGTTTAGAGCCTGCAATTCTCGTTACTTCAGCAGAAAGCACAATTTCAAGAGCTAGACTATCATGGAAAATACGAATTCAGAGAATTTAGCAGAGAGGTACTATTACTACTGTTAAGCTTAAATCCCGCCCAAGATTCATCAAAGTTTACTTACTAGAACGAATTCTGAAATTTTGACTTACCATATAAATAGCTAGACTGCATTCGGAAAATAATGCCTAGAAGTGACCGCAGAAAAGCTGCACATGATCTCCTAAAAGATGTTTGTAACCCCACAAGTCATGAAAGTTTGAGAAAATCTGTGGAGCTGGAAATAAAAGTAAGATCTCTTAGCTTCTTTCATTTGAGCACTAGTCAATCTTACGTTAAACTAAACAATGGGATGATGTTTGCAAATTAACTAGGTTCTGAAGAAGCTGATCAGAGCGCTTCAAAAAGACTGGGAAGAAAAACTAAATATAAAGCAAAATGCAAAGAATATATATAAAGATTTCGAACAAAAGGTGAAGCATCTAGAGAAGAAAAAGGAACAACTTGCGAGACAGCGGGACGAAGAAAGAAAAATCATGCTCGGGACGAAGAAAACGCATGATAGGAAGATAGGTACATATCCTGAGGCTTATTATATCAAGATGTTGTATGATAATTTACCATGATGGGTTGTAATGAATTATTTTGGGGATTGGAGTCTTTTCCTTTTCCTAAACCATTCACCAAATTTCACATGCATAGTTTAACTGCGACATGTACACATAAAAGAACTGTCTCAAGTTTCAACAGAGATATATAAATGAGGAAAAGATGTTGTCACAGTTTGTAGCTTGGCTTGGAAAATTGTTCTTTAGGATTTGAACAAAAAAAAAGTGGCAAAAGACGGATAAAGAGTACTAAGAAGAAAGCTAAAACGAGATTATACGAAAGTGACCACAATATAAATCTAAGGTCGAAGATAAAGCTGATGTAGGAAAAAAAGGAATCTAGAGAAGCACATTATCAGAGGAAGCCACCAACCTAATTAACCATGTCCACCATAAATTTTCACTTAAAGAGTCCTAGAGATGTAAAATTCACTGAGCAGCAAGCCAGCAAACGAGACTGCACAGAAAAATCATTGATCAAAGCATTTATGTTCCATCAAACAAAGAAAGGCTTAGCAATCTTCAGCTATTTCAAGTCAAAAAGCCTTATAGCATAAGATTAAAGTATTGAGACTAAATTAGTGAAGTTAGACCAAGCCAAAATGGATAATTAAATTTAATACATACAAACCTAATCAATGATCCAGTGACAAAATATAATAATAATCTAAGGAAAAGACAATTAGCAAAGGTGTTTTCTATCCAAGAAGGTAAACTTCCACGAAACAATGGAACAATCACTATCCCTTGTTCCCTAAGCTTGAGTGCTTGACCCAAAACATTTCAAGTCATTTCTCAATATAAAACAATAAAACTGAAGAACTCAAAACCAAAGAAACGTCATAAATATCACAGAACAAGCTTTAGCCTCAAAGTCACTAACCTTTTGAATGGCATCATCATCATCATCTTCTTCAGTCAAATTCATAGAAAAAGCCCTTCTCGCCACCGGTTCCTTTGCTCTATCCTACACAGATCCTGATCAAAAATGGCTCATCAGAAAGCATCTAACTTCACTCCTCCAAGATTATCCAAACTTCGAGCTCTCAACAGATACTTTCAATCACAACAACGGCGCCAAAGTTCAACTCTTTTGCCTTGAAGGATCTCTACGTATTCGAAACTCCACTACACAACTCCCAACCGTGCAATTAACCATTTGGATTCACGAAAACTACCCATTAACCCCTCCTCTAGTGTTTATAAACCCTAATTCGATTCCAATTCGCACCAACCACCCATTCGTCAATTCTTCAGGATTCACAAACTCTAGATACATCGAAACATGGGAACACCCACGGTGCAATTTACTCGATTTCATTCGAAACCTCAAGAAAGTTCTCGCTAATGATCACCCATTTCTACACACTGATTCAATCCCAACTCGGAATCAATCAGTTTCGAGAACCGAAGCCTTAGATCGATTAGCTACGAGTCTCCACTACGACGTTCTAACAATCATGGAGAGATCAGAGGAAGAGATTGAAAACCTCTGGAAACTTCAATCAGAGGTGAAGCAAAGATCTGAATCCGTTAAAACAATCATCACTGAGCTTGAGATGGAGAGAGAGACATTAAAGGTGAGAGCTTTAAATCTCAAAAATGATTCTGATGATTTGGCGACATGGGTAGAGACGAACTATCATAGGTTGATGAAAGCGACGTCGATGGATATGGGAATCGAAGAAATGTTCGAAATTGAATCGGAGATAGAGGGGTTGGCGGGAGACGACGCCATTGAAGATGTGTTGAGAGTACTAGAAGAAGCTGCGGAGAGAGGAGAGTTGGAGATAGCTTTGTATCTAAAGCAAGTGAGAGTGTTGGCCAGAGAACAATTCTTCATTAGGCATTATCGTTTAAAACTCGAATTTCCATATTTGAGTATGTTGTGAATTTTTGAAAAAAAAAATTTGTATATAGTATTTGATGGATTTCATCAAAAGATATATTTTTACTCAAAATGGTCTAAAGTTATGTTTACAAACAAAGAATAGGATTCGGAGAAGTCCAAAACAAAGTTGTAAATTGCATGAAGTAGTGATCTTGGTCTTTGCTAAAAACGAAAACAAACTCCTGATTAATTATAATCAGAGATATTATAGATTTTTTTTTTGACATTTTTGGATCGACAAAACCCGATTCATAATCATTTTCTACTTCGGGGGTAACGCTAGTTAGAAGAGTCGAACTTAGGAAAAGCGGAGTCAAATGGATTTAACTACTTGACTAAAAACACATCCCTTTAATGATATTATAGAATAATAGTTTTAATCTAGAAAATTATAGGTTAGGCCAAAGATCGGAAAATATCCTGACATTGAGAGTAGTTGAAATTATCATTTGAAATTGTCATGGTTTTAAGAGGAAAAAAACATATTATTACCAAATTTCTTTTAATTGACTTTTGCATAAGATTACATAAGCATGTGTTAAAATGACCATAATACCCTCGAGAGCCAAGTCAGCAGATCTTGGATTTAATAATTGGTAAGAATGGTTTTTGGGTCAAATCGACAATTGATGTTTGGGTTTCTTCATTTACATTACCCGCTTTGCTAGGAAGGAAGCCTGCGATCCAGTGTTCCTCATCGCTGCGGGTGCACCGATTCTTAACGTACACCCACTTCCCCAGGTTTCGAAGATCCCTTCTTCCTCCATCTTCATCATCCTACAAGTCTGGGTCGTGTCTCAATTCAATTCCCACGTTTTTGACTTTAAACGGCAATCTGGTTTGATAACGGATCGTGTTCTATCTGGTCAAATTCATGGAGATTCCTCGCCGGACCTTTCTTTTCTTCTTCTCTCTTTGTCTCTTGTCGTCAACGTCTCTCTCCATCGATAATTTTCATCAAGCGTAAGTCTAATTTCTTCATCTCTTCTTCTCATTCCCTCCTCAGATTTGTATTCTTCTAATTGGCAAAATATCACAATTTCAGCTTAAAGTTTTGTTTTTTATTTTCGTTTCTGTACTGTAGCTGTAGTAATGGGAAAGAAATATAGATTGTGGCATTGGATCTGATATGTGGTCTTGAATTTCGTTGTAATTTGATTGAAAGAAAGGTTTTTGTTTGTGTCTACATGAGAACCTATGAATCTTCTTGATAATGTATTGTCTATTGCCAGTTGTTTCTGAAGTTTTAGCTTTGTTATAAGCTACATTGTTGCCAGAGAATGTTATCAGTGTAGACCAGTAGCAATTTCTTGTCATCAACTGTAGCTGCCGTAGAAATCCATTGATGTGGTAGCAAACAGCTCTTGATGATTGATCATTTGTGATGGGCAAACACTTTTTGGAAATCATTTGTGGTTGTTCTTGATACTAACTGTTCCTTGTTGCTTCTATGCAGTTTTCCTATTGTTGAACCTGCTCCGGGTCATACAAAGCTTCAGCTTAGTAGAGAAGGTTTGGAAGCAATTAGCAGAATTACAACTCCTATTTCTGCTGTTGCGGTATGTGAGAGTGATGTTTGACTCATTATCAATTCTTTGTATGTTCTTTCTATCTGAACCTGGTTTTCTCGGACCAAGATATTTGTTGCTTTTTCTCATGTTTTGTTTGTTTTTTCCTATGCTGTTGAAACATTAGGTGATTGGCCCATATCGGTCTGGAAAATCATTTCTACTCAATCAGCTTCTTTCTCTTTCGTGTTATGAAGGTGCTTCTTATTTCATATACTCGGGTTCTGCGGTTTACTTATAATATTATGTATATCGTGACGTGGTGTAGAACTTTTTCGTACTTAACATTGACTTGCGGTATTTTAAAATTCATCAGGTTTTGGTGTTGGACACATGCGTGATACCAAAACAAAAGGTATCGCAACAATGTCGAGAGGACACTATCATCTTTCAACTGCATATATATTTCTAGCTAATAAAGGTTTAACTTTTTTGTTTGGAATCCACTTCATTGTTGCATACAGGTATTTGGGTCTGGGGAACACCATTAGAGCTGGAGATCGATGGAGTAAAAACTTCCATAATTTACCTCGACACTGAAGGATTCGAAAGTGTTGGAAAGTCAAATGTTTATGACGACCGGTACCCAGACAGTTCAATATTTGCACATTTAAACTTTTGTTTGCGGAAGCTCTGAATATCTAATCAATTTCTGTGTAAATTTTCAGGATTTTTGCTCTGGCAACGGTTATGAGTTCTGTGCTTATCTATAATCTGCCTGAAACTGTAAGTTATCCCACCTCTTTGTTTGCTCAGATTGCTTATGCTTCTAGATACATTATACTTATAATCAAAGAGAGTAAAGCCTTACAGGGGTTTCTGTATATCAATTTCAACTATCATGTCATTAATAAAACCAAAGACCAAAGTGTATTCAAAGACCTAGGTAGTTCATCTTATAGAAGGATTTACCCTAAAAGTGAAATATAGGGTATCAGACAACCCCTTGTGATGTTTAGTAGGAAGTGTACAAATACGGATCTGTAACGGAGTAGCTAGTGTTTTAAAGAACTTTGTCTACCATTTCTCTCTCTGATATGAGTTCTCATCAGATCCGTGAAGCTGATATTTCTCGGCTCTCCTTTGCTGTTGAGTTGGCAGAAGAATTTTATGGAAGGTTTGCTCAATTGTACTCTGCATTTCTGTCTTGTTTAATATGATTTCCTGCTTCTATGAATACTGACTGGGTTCTATTTTGATTGGCTCATGCAACTCAATTGGCAGAGTAAAGGTACACCCTAACGAAATTGCTGTTATTCGTGATACATGGCAACCTTCAAAACTTTGTTTCTGATTTTTACATATCCTATAGGGTGAAGATGTTGCTTTTGAACCGTCAAAGCTTCTGTGGCTTATCCAGCGTGATTTTCTGCGTAAGTGAATGGTGCTTTTGACAACAACATTCATAATAGTTTCAGATAAACAATGCTTATATTCTATGTAATCTCTGCCTATTTTTAAATGCTTTTCTTACTATTTTCTGATATAACAAGCAGTATTTTGTGTGCCCCTGGTCCTGTGTGATCCATTTCAATGTTCCAGTTTTCTCTGTGTTTTATGCAAGTGATCTGGTCATGATTAACACTATTCCAACTTTATGCAGAAGGGAAATCGGTGAAGCAAATGGTGGATGAAGCTCTCAGACATGTCCCTAATGAAGATGGTTAGAGTTCCTTTGTATTCTTTAACTAATGTCGCCTAGATCATTTCGTACAAGCAGCACCCCTTGTTAATTGATTATGTTTCTTATGTTTTCAGGTAACAAAAATATTGACCAGGTATGTTCTCCTTTGTTCTGCATCGTACAGGTAATTATCATTATTATCTCAGAAGTTATTCTTGTTATCACCTTTTTCAGGTTAACCAGATTCGGGATTCCTTGGCCATAATGGGTGACAACAGCACAGCCTTTAGCTTACCACAGGTAAGGCATTTGTGTGTATTTTTGCATATTTTCCAGCCTTTCTTTCAGAAGAAAATACAGAGCGTGGAAACTTTAATCAAAATGGCTATCTTTGTGCATGAACAATTATGGTTATCTTTGAATGTCTTTGCTGAATCATGCGCGAATACAAAACTTTGTTTGTGTGGTTGTTACCTTTAAGTCATGCTGAAGCGTGCACAAAATCCTTAGATTTCAGTGCTTGTGTGTCCTTGAAGTATAGCATTTCCAAAGTTCTTGGGAGGAAATTCTCTTTTTTCTTCCATGTGGAATACTATGGAATGATTGTCTGATCTGACTCAGATGTGGAGTCTTCATTGCTGCCGTGATAGGTGGTCTTCTTTTGATAACTTTGTTCCTTGTTTTTGTTATATAGCCTCATCTCATGCGGACGAAGCTGTGTGATCTCAAGGATGAGGACCTGGACTCTACCTATGTTGCAAGGCGTGACCAATTGAAAAAGCTCGTTGCTAGTATTATCCGCCCAAAGATAGTGCAGGGGAAAACACTAAATGGGAAGGAATTTATTTCTTTCCTGGAACAGGTGAGTTTCAATTTTTATGTGTATGGCTTGATTCTTTGAATTCCTCAAAACATTTCTATGAATGAGTGGAAGTGTTTCGTTGAAAAATCAAAAGGAATAAGTGGCTGCTTTCTCTGCCTGCTCTTACACACTTTATCAAGTAAATAGAAATGTTTTTCTCTTCTCATGGATGGGTGTGTTTCCTGGCTACTTTAAGTTATCCAGGTAGCCTGTTCTTGTAAATTTTGCATAACATTGGTAGATTACTTTTTTAATGTGGTCATTGTGATTCATGTTTTCCTTGATATTTACTGTTTCATACCCTTTAGTGCTATGATGATATTTCGTTACATATCAATTTATGAGTGCATATTTTCACAAATGATAGATTTGTTACTAGATATGTGATGAGCATATGTATACGTTCTTGATATGTAACACACTAACACCAAATAATGGCTTATATGATATCTATCATATGCCTTCTATGCTTACTAAATGGTATCTTGATATCAATTCTGGTTGCTCTAATTTGTAGATATTGGATGCTTTGAATAAAGGAGAGATCCCATCTACAGGATCACTAGTTGAGGTTTTCAACAAAGATATTGTTGAGCGATGTGTTAAGCTGTACAATGAGAGGATGGTAGGATTGAGGCTACCTATGTCTGAAGAATCTCTCCAAAGTTCCCATGAAACGGCACATAATGAAGCTATTAAAGCATTTGATGCACAGCATTTTGGCAGACAGCATGCAAAGAAATCTGTCGATCAGTTGGATGAACAAATGCAGGAGGTATGAATCCATATGCTAATATGAATTTCTATTGAGTGTGGCTTAGTGGGTGAAACAAAGGGATGATTCTGAATTTTGTGCTGGCAGATTTTGGTAGTCTACGTAAAAATAAGATTTCCAAATTTACTTTCTTATTCATTCTTGTGCACTTGAAATATTGTCCAGGTATATAAGAATTTTGTTCTTGCAAATGAATACCAATCGTCGAAGCTCTGTGAGGCGCTATATACAAGGTGTGAAGATGACATGGACCACTTACAGGCTCTCCGACTCCCTTCCATGGCTAAATTTAATGCAGGTTTCGTGTACTGCAACAAAACTTTTGAGCAGCAATGTGTTGGTCCTTCAAAACAAAACTATGAGCAAAGATTAACTAAGGTAATGTATACATGTCTATGTTATGCGAGAAGTATTGAATTGTAATTTGATTTGAGAACTTGTGTGCAGATGATGGGGAAATCGCGGTCTTTGTTCATCAAAGAATACAATAACCGACTGTTCAACTGGCTGGTTGGGTTCTCTCTTGTAATGGTGGTTGTGGGCCGGTTTATTATAAAATTCATTTTATTAGAAATGGCGGCGTGGATCCTTTTCATATTCTTGGAGACATACACAAGGATGTTCTGGACAGCAGAAGCTCTGTATTACAACCCAGTCTGGCATTTCATCGTTGGAACATGGGAAAATGTCGTGTACAGTCCCGTTCTCGACTTGGACAGGTAACAAAAAACAACTCTTGAACAAACTTCTCTCAATCTCTTTGCTCATCTAAATTTGTTTGTGTTTATGGTAAATAGATGGGCGATTCCTATAGTCTGCATAATTGCACTTTGTGTGCTTTATTGGCGGTGTTATGGAAAGAGGAAACACGGGGCTCGCTGGCTTCTTCCGCTGTACAACAATCAGAAGAATGGCCGGAATAGGGAACGGTCTGAGTAAAAACACGTTCCTCCTCATTTCCCTTACACTTATAGCATCTTCTCGGGCATGCTCGTTGTTTTTATCATCAGAAGCTCTCTGCCCGTTACTACCAATTTTTTGGACGCATGCAGAAGAATGAAGAGAGGATGATTGATCGATCCAAGTTGGTTTGATTGTACCATTTACATAGAATGCCTTTGTAATGTTTAACGTTATATATACATAAATGGTTTTATACTCTCCCACTCACGGCTAATTTTAGCTAGCAAACCTTAGAGTCTATTTTTATTTTATTTATTTATTCATAGTTTGTTTATGTTGGTATGTTATAAAATTATGCAAGCAGAATCTTCGTGTTGCAATTTTGATTGTTGGATTCATGAATCGTTGTGCAAACATACAAAAAATACACAGAACAAGCTATAACTCGAAACAAGGCCCTAAAAAACGAAACCATAGTTAACTTTTAGAAGCGACCAAGTTATAGTAGAACAAAATAAACATGAACAAACTACTGCAGTAAATAGAAGAAGAAACCACTAGCTATAGCCGCTAAACATTATTACATATTTTGTCTTTATTTGACTTTGGGGAATCGCTAACAAGCAGTCCATCGTTCGTCCCCTCAATTTTCTCGACATAGGCGGGGGCTCTAAATGTAACCATATGTGGTTGAATGATACATATGGCTCCCAATAAGACAACAAGGTCTGAACAAATTCTTATAACAAACGTCATGGTAAGAGAATTTTTGGTGTGATTACGTAAGACAGAAGTAATGTCCAAGCGCATCAAATCTGCTATTTCACAAAGGATGAACACGCAGATGGCGACGTGTTCCCTTCTCACAGCAAATAGTTTGGATTCCTCGAATTGCTTTCTTAAAAAACACTTAATCTTAGGGAAAGATGAAGTGATCCAGCAGTCAACATCATGGAAAAAGATGGTCAACCATATCCGGAGGAGTACTAGAAGTAGACTTGCAGGTGACTTAAAAGAATCCATTGACACAAAACGTAGAAGAGACATGATATAGAAGAAAAAAAAGATTATGGTGTCACAAGCAATCCAAAAAAATATATATATAAGCGAAGAGAATTGAGAAGCAAAAGATATTAATCTTTCTAATGGTGTAAGCAATTTTCTACCTTTTCTTAGTTTAGGGCATGGGGATGGGTTCACTTCCTCTTTATATATAGATTAGTTGAGGTGCACACAATGATTATAAAAAAAGGAAAGGGACTTGATCGTTATAAAAAAAAAAGAGAGAGAAAAGGAAATATACCAAAAATATGACTATGCATAAGAAGATTTGGAAAAAAAAAGAGCATACGAAGATTTGGAAAACTACTTTATTGTGGTGTAGACTTTTTTTTTTTTTTTTTTGCTAAGAATGTAAATATTTCAGTAGAAAATGAAAAATTTTAGGAATTACAAGAATGTAAAACCTATAGTTTGGTGTAGATTTTTTAGAGAGAGAAATTATTTAAGGGAGAAAAAATAGGAATCTCGAATCTCCCGAGAGACTTCCTTAATCTATTCGTTTTCCTCATTTAATTCCTGCCTCTATTGCGACACGTGAACATCAATCAGGTGCGCGTTTTTATCTCTATAGAAATTTCTCACCGTAGTGAATCCTTATTTGATTCCTAGAATTCGGTATTTGAGCTTTCTCTTCAAAAAGTTTATAGCTAGAGATTATGTCGGTTTGATCATGGTTTACTCTGATGCCTGATCGAATCCTGTGGATACATTATTTATTCTCTTAATTAATGTTTTTATTACTTGAAACGGATACCTAATTGAACCTGAATATAATCACGTACCTTGTTTTTGTGTTAGTTTTGTTGTTTTGGATATGTACAGATGTATATACTGATTGATTGGATATGTTTTGTATATGATCGGATTCCTAATTGGATATGTTTTGTATTGAGGATTAACTTGCTGATTCTATTATCTCTTTTGACATGTTTCATTTTTAGAAGCTCTTTTTGGTTTGCTTGCTGCTATGGATGGGCTGCTACCGCTACTGCTCCTTATGCGCCTGATTATATATCATTCTCTTCCCAAGCCCTCCTGGAAAGGCCTTGTCGATGATAGAACCAATTATTTGGACGCAGAAGAATTGATCGATCCAAGTTGGTTGATTGTACCATTTATATAGAATGCCGTTGTAATGTAAAATAATGTCTATTTGTAACATGTCGATGAATATAATTTATTCTAAACTCAAAAAAAATGTAACTGTTGAATAAAACAGTAGATAATATATTTGCAAATGCTATAATTATATAGCTCCAATTATGGACATTGAGGTTTTGAAGCTTAAACAATTATCTAAAATAGAGGGAATTTTTTTGGTTCAAGAAGTGTCGACACATTTATGCTTCTAGTCTTTTACACGTTCGAATGGACGCATCACGCATAAGTGCTACATATTTTCAGTAACAAAATCGTCCTTGTAGTCGAACGTTGAAATGCAAAATTAATTCACTGCTTCCGAAATAAGCGATCTTGATCTACATATTCTTTGATTACACCATGTCTATGAGACTGTGAGTATGATTTACAATATAAGACAAAACGTCCAATTAATGAACCAATATTTAGAAGAAAACAGAGAGATAGGCGAATCTTGAGGGAGTATATATGTCATGTCCCTAGTAGGCAGCTTCAGAAACCAAAAGTTTTGTTTCAATCTATAAGCAGACAATTTAACCTTTCTTCTAATTTTGAAAGTTGGATTCATGAATCGTTGTGCAAACCAATCATAAAATATTCTTCTGTTTTTGTATACTATTTCCAACTCAAAAGCATGCATTGATCTAATGGTTTTGAGTAGGGGTTCAAAAGCATGTCTATTTGACCACGTAAAATAATGTCTATTTGTAGCATGTCGATGAAGCAGCCACAACGATCAGCTTGATAACTAAATGCTTGTATTTCCAAGAAGCATCTACAAAATAGTTTATTTGGAATGTCATGAATTTATGAAAGCAGAGAGACTACAATAGAGCTCTTTTGTTTTTCCTTTTCACTTCAATTGAGCAAATTGAAGATATGATTTTATTACTCAAAACTATCTTTTTTATGTTTTTGGTTGCAAAATCTTAGAACATGACAGTGAGACCAAGAGCAGTTGATAAATCAGACAAAAAGGCAGGCAGATCCGTGGCTGATGCTGCCGTCACAAGCTTCCCATCAGTTACGCATCCCTTTCCCATCACAGCCTCACCTCCAGCCACCTTCACCATCACCTTCATCCCTTTCCCACTCGCGCATCGCTTCCCCTGCAAATCCATAAAGAGAAACATCACATGAACACGATTAGGTACTAGATTCCACTAGCAGGACTTGATTTAAACATTGAGATCACCATTGTATCATCAATCTACCTCATACATAGAAAGCCAACATCACATTTTCTATAGTCAATGCAATGAAATCACAATTCATTACACGAAAAACTGTCCCATTCAGTACAAGTTTGCAATACTATTTCCTCCAAGTGCATTTTCTGTTTTGAAAACACAAGTAATGATTTTACCTTAAGAACACCAGTGGCTGCAAGCAGCAATTTCCCCTGTCCAATAGCTGCAAAGACCTTATCTTTCTCTGCAAACTTCTTAACCAAAGCAACAGCCTTTTCATTCATCACCAATAGCTCAGGTGATCTCCCTCCTGGAACCACTACACAATCATAATCATCCACACATATATCATCCCACGATGTAGTCACAAAGAAGTTATGTCCACGCTTCTCTGCAGGAATCTGCCGTCCTTCCTCAAGGTCATAAACCGCCGTTGCACACACTTCTCCCTTCTTCTTATTCGGTGTCACTGCATCCACTTTACATCCTAAAGCTTGAAGTGCTCTAAATGGTACATTGATCCCATAATCTTCTACATAGTCCTAAAATTTGATTCAAACATAAAAACAGAGTAATGCTCAACGAGTCTGATGATGGAAATAAGATTGATATCACTAAAGTCTAAAGATTACGCATTTTACTCACCCCAATGAGGAAAAGCACAGAAGCTGGATTCTTCTTCAAGCTCGAGACTTTGGCACCAAGAGATTCGAGCAAAACCTTAATACCATGACCAAGCGTTGGCCAACCAACCATACTCACGAAATTCCCGTCTTTAACGCAATCTGTGATCTCGAACATGCTCTGAATCCCAGGCTGTTGCCACCACTCGCCGCCGGAGAGTTCGATCAGAGGCTTTATGCTTTCAAACGCCGTGCATTTCACACCACCGGCGAGAATTCCGGCCGCCATGAGCATAACCTGGCTGTGGCAGCTTGTGAAGATGAGCTTCTTGGATTCGGCGAATCGCGCCACGAGGTCGACGCATTTCTCGTCGGCGCTGAGAAGCTCCGTGAAACGTCCTCCAGGGATGACGATGACGTCGTAATTCTCCGGAGTGACGTCATCGAAATTGGCATTTAAAGTCAACTGGTCAACCACCAGCTCGGTGTATAGCTAATAAAAATAAAAATTTGAGTGATTATCAATTTATCACAAAAAGAAGAAAAATATAGAAATTCGTATAGTGAGAAAAATGGAACCTCAAGGCCCAAGAAATCGTGGGCAGACATAACGCAGCGATCGCCGGCGGTGCGGTTGGGTGAAACGCAATGAACGCTAACGCCAAACGATTGGAGAACATAGAGAGGAACAATCGTTTCATAGGCTTCCATGTAGTCTCCACATAAGAGCAATGCCGATTTCTGAACCGCAGATGCCATTTTGGTAAATGTTTGTGTGTATTGAATAAGCCAAATGTAAGAACTAAGCTTATTTATACATATTTATCTATTTGTCATGTGGAACTTTTGAATCCCCCCACCAACTCACTTTCACCTACTTTTTTTGGTGGTTTCAAAGTCCAACTGGTGAAAAGTCCTTGTTACAAATATATAACTATCTATAACTTTGAATGGTATGTAATTTCTGCTAACTACTATATGTGGCTGAATTGTTATATTGTATACTTAAAAAAATGGACATTGAAATAGTATGCCATGTTGAATATTTCCATATATCCATTTGGCGGGTGTAAAATAATACTTTTCGTAGATTGACTGTGATATATGACATTTTTAACTTTGTTTGAAAGCTATATACAAAACGTCATGTATGTATTTAATTTAATACCATGACTCGTGAGTTAACGTTCCGAGTACGGTCTCTCGGAAGCTAGATTAATCCAGAAAATCTAAAGAATGATGTAGCTTTTGTTTACGAAATCCTGGACTATGGAGAACTTGAGCTACATGAATCTCATGTTCGTGGAGTCAGGATTCTAGAGCATATTATTGGCTACAAGGAGCATGTATGCATAAGCTTGTGCCTCGTATAACCTAGACTATGCATGGTACCCTTGGGTTGTGGAAAGCTTAGACCTAGGATCGGAGAGCCTGGAAAACAGACAACTATTGTGTATAATAATGATTGGGCTATGGGAACTTCTTAATTTGATGTGTATGTGTAGAAAAATTCATGCGAGATGATCACACTAGTCACTAACACGTGTAATTTGACCTCTACAAGATGATCACACTAGTCACTTACGTCTATTAGGTTGAAAAAAATCTTCAAATCTTGTAAATTTTTGTTAATCGTATGACTTTTTAAAAAATTTGTATATCATGCTTTTATTTATTTATTTTGGCAGCAAAACAGGTCTGCCTTAATTTATTTCCTGATTCTAGCCTGGAAGAGCTTCACGGCGGAGGAATAGGTCGGCGGTGCTCCTTCTAGTCCCGTCAACCCTTTTGTTGTCAACACGTGCTACACGTGTTTCTTTTCTTAGAAATCGTTATCTCAATCTGTTTATGGACTTTAGCGTTTGGACTTAATTTTTTTTTTTTTTTTTGTTGTTGTTGTGTGATCGTTTGGACTTAAAATTTTTAAATAGGTTTGTTGGACTGTTCTTAGAAATCGTTATCCCAAACATCTCTTGTAATGTTTGCTCTTTGAACTTAAATCAAAAAATTTGGCCGACAAAGATATTAAACACTATAGGATACTAATTTCATTCATTTACTTATATAACTTTTAGACATCGGTAACTGTTTGAGAACGAACACCGGAATTATTCAGCAAAAGATAATTATTTTACATGACTGATTACTAACCAACCACGCATCGTCTATAGCTTTCTTATTTTATGCATATAGAAATTATACAAGTTTAGCCGGATGTAGGAGTTTTGACGACGATACGGTATCTATCAACAAAAACCCTGACCCGGTCACACCTGAAGTCTGCGGTCACCGGACTCCCATCCAAAATCACGATAGCATCGACGGTTGGGTTCTCTCTCTCTATCACTGCCGCCGCATAGTCACCATTTGTTCCCCTAAGCTCCGGCCACGCGTTCTTCCCTGCGATCACGTTAGACCGGTCAATAATTTACATTTGGTATTTAATTTGGAGATCAATAAGCTCATGTTTGGGTAAATGAAAACAAAAGAATTTGAAACATCACCATGGCTTGACCATATATAACATAATTAACCTCAATAAAGTAGTTATTGAAATGTAATCATGTAGTTATTGAACTGCCTTGAAGCCATATCTAATCGAACATTAGCTAAGTATTTACAAACATATCAATTATGAACTATACAAACAAAAAAAACTTACTAGGGCATTCGGACGACATTTTTCTTCCCTATTGTATATATTTATGTAGTTGTGATGTATTTGTATGCTCATCTTTAGGGATTTTAGTCCCATTTATAGAATCGGATACGGCTTGGTGTCGGTGTCGTCGATGAGGTTGCAAATTCAAAAGTCAAACTTTGACGATCCCCTCCCTTGACATTATTAATTTGTTTGGTAAAGGCATTGACACTTATGGTTTTTTCGTAAACCTTTGAAAAGTTCATATTAATAATCGATATTCAAACCTTATCGAGATAAAGATAAGGTTTCTAAGGCTGAGATAATGTCCAAATTTGAAAACAAACGAAGTTGTAAATAATTTTAGGAATTCACATTGATACCAAAAAAATGTATATATTTACGAATTCGCCGACTGGATTGGATTATTTCTGTTTTGCATGCAAATTTTTTGCCAAATCTATCACCTGCAAATTTGTCACTTAGCCGGAGAAAGTGACGAAATCATCCTTCATATATTAAAAACTTAATCATAGTTAGTATTAAGATTTTGTGTATATGGTTGAGAGTTTATGGTTTAGTTTAGTATATGTTCACACTGTCCAATGTTCCAAGTTACAACTTGTCTATATGCTAATATGCACTTCTTCAATTTTTCTTCTAAAATTTTTTTATTAACTTGATAATGTTTACAAGAATTACAAGATTTCCTATCAAAATTGCATGAGATTTTTTTTTACACAAATTCTCTTAAATCAAGTTTTCCAAACGAAGGCCCAAAGCAATTTAAATAGAACCAAATCCAGTTAGAAGCCCAGACTAAAGGTTTATAAGTTAAAAAAATATGTTCCTTAGGCCCTTTAAATCCACATTGTCATTAGTATTGTTATTAGAAAAACCACCAGAATTCGTATGTATTTGATGATTTATGTTCTTAAATTTTTTCATTAGCATATAAAATACTTTTCTTAAATTCTTATCTAATTATATTATCCGATAAAATTAACTCCCCCTTTGTCAAATTGTTCATATAGTTTTCTTAAATTATCCTGTTAATTACCATATTAATCCTACTTTAAAAAACTTTCCAATAATATGAACAAATGCAAGAAAACGTGTAACCGTAAAAAAATATACTGCAGTCTGCGTTTCGTAGAAAAATTCGATTTCTCTAAAGCCCTAAAACTAAAACTATCCCCAATTCCAAGTTCTAGGGTTTTTCACTTTCCCCAATCTGTACGCCATTTTCGATTTCCTTTTTGATTCATCGACCATGTCTCGATTTCAAACGATGATTTGAGTGTTTCTTCTGTTTCTGCAGAGTATAAATGGCGGATACGCCTTCGAGCCCGGCCGGAGATGGCGGAGAAAGCGGCGGCTCGGTTAGGGAGCAGGATCGATACCTTCCGATAGCTAATATCAGCAGGATCATGAAGAAAGCGTTGCCTCCTAATGGAAAGATTGGTAAAGATGCTAAGGATACTGTCCAGGAATGTGTCTCTGAGTTCATCAGCTTCATCACTAGCGAGTATGTTTCGATGAGACTCTAATCAATATCTTCAACTGCTCTTCATCGAATTTGTATTACCAGTTTTGGAATGATTTAGCTTAAAAATTGATCATTTGAGAAATAGTTTTGTAAAACTAGCTAGGGATTGAGTTTAGCTCAGAGAGTCTTATGAAGTTTATAGAGAAAAGATGATGTTTTTTTAACAATGTTAATCAACCATTGTTAGGTATGGGTTTACCTGAAGCTAGTTGCTTTCCTATGGACCATTTTGCAGATAATTTCACATACTTCTAATATGTTATATCTTAACTCTGTCAAATAAATTGTTAGATTTTTTTCTTCATTTAACCATCTTAGGCATATATGGAGTAAAAAAACCGTATCTTAATCATGTTCAAAGATTCTTTTATCTTTCGGATCTGTTTGTTTTTGTTCATTTAAGGCAAAAGGTATGTTTTTGATCATGCAGGAATTGCTTGTGTTGAATGCGTTTTAGGTATCCGATTGATGAATTTTCTGTTTCTTATAACTTGAGATGGCCCATTCTTTGTTAGGAAGAAGAAATAAGTTATGATGTATTGAAACTATGATTTTTCTATTGGTCCTAGATAAGCTTGTCTGTTGTTGCGGTTAGGGCTCTTTAGCTGGTCTTATGTTGATTCGTTGACTGTAATGGCCAATTGACTGGTATCTGTTGTATCTCTAATGACCGCTGTGGATTTTTCTGCTAATCAGGGCCAGTGATAAGTGTCAAAAAGAGAAAAGAAAAACTGTGAATGGTGATGATTTGTTATGGGCAATGGCAACATTAGGATTTGAGGATTATCTGGAACCCCTAAAGATATACCTAGCGAGGTACAGGGAGGTATGTTGCTCTGACTCCCTAATCATGTGTTCTGAAATACTTAATATCATAGTCAACACATTAGTTGTCGTGAGTAACATCGAAACTTGCTGTGATAGCAATTTTTACAATTCCCTTCAATATGTTCTGTGTTGACTATCTTTCCGATATCTAATTTTCAAAGCAAGAAAGATAAATCTAGACCAACACTCAGGATGCATATTGTGTTGTCGTAAATTTTGAAAAAGACATCTATTGTTCTCTCTTTTATGCTTTTGTTGCTAACTTACATAATAAATCAAAATGTTTCTTATTACGCGAGACTAATTCGGTTCTTTTCTTTCCTGGGTGGTTGCTGACACACTACCTGCTGATGCAGTTGGAGGTAAATAAACCACATACTTCTTTCCTACTTTATATTCCATTTTCAGTGTTTCCCATTGGCTTCTTACGTTTTGTTGGGAAATGACGACAGGGTGATAATAAGGGATCAGGAAAGAGCGGAGATGGATCTAATAGAGATGCAGGTGGCGGTGTTTCTGGTGAAGAAATGCCGGTATGATTTTGACAAGTATAGATGTTACCAATGCTATACAGCCTTTGTTGTTCTTAGCTCTGACTTGATCATTTTGATTCAATCACAGAGCTGGTGAAAGAAGTTGCAAGTAGTGATCAAGAACAACGGCAATGATCAAGTAATTCTTCTCTCTATCACAAGGCCTCATGTACACAAATGAAGAGCATAGTCTATATGCATGTATGTTCTTATCCAACCTTCAATTGTTACAACTGATGCTAGTAGGACATGCCTTGTTTAAAAGCCTTGAGTTGAAAATTAAACTTTTACTTGCTGATCATGTTGATCTTTAATTTATGTCTTGTTGTATGAATTAGTTGTGGCTAAATTCAAAGTTGTTTGTCTAACGTGAAATTCTCTAAAATGTTGCAACAGGGGAAATTAGAGATCAGTGAGAGTTGTTTATAGTTGAGCTGATCGGCAACTATTTCGGGTTTACTCTCAATTTCGGTTATGTTAGTTTGAACTTTTGGTTTTCTATTTCAGGTTTAGTTGGTTGTATTTAAAGATTTCTCTGGTAGATTTGAGAACACTTTGAATGAAGGAAATATTTGTCCAGTCTGTTCGCTCTTATTTTCGATTCACTTTCGAGAAATGTCAAAAAAGGTTATTTCATAGCTATAAATTAAATATGAATCTTTGGTTTGTGCATAGACAATTACATTTAAGGCAGTTGATTTGTTTCAAATATACACTTACAAAAGAATATAACCGCAAGCAATTAATTTTGCTTTGAATTGAAAAGCTTTCAGAGAGTAATCAAATGCTAAAATCACGAAAACTATTTACAATGTTTTTCAAAATTTCGTCTCTCCATAAATTCTCTTATGGTAATAAAGGCCTTTGTTTTTCCAAATTCAAAATTCTGTTCTTCAGAATCAAGAAGAGACTATGGAATTTCAAGAAGCTGGTTCAACATCGAGTACAATCATCTTCCTTAATTTCCCTTGTATCTATAATCTCTTTACTTTTCAGAAACTGATTATACTTGTGGAACACTCTTTCTAACTTCGCGCAGCAGCAAGAGTAAAGATTGACTTTGTGGAGCAGATGAAAGATAAAGAGAGTAAATGGAATCATCGCAAAAGCTTGGCCTGGGACACTGCTTTTTTCACCAACCCTGGTTTCTTCTCTATTTCCTATAAATTGGTTTTGTGTAGATAAAATGTAGTTAAATTATATGATTCCAATGATTTCGGAATTTTTTGGTTAAAGGAGTGTTAGATCCTGAAGAATTGTTTGGGAGCTTAAAGATTGACGAGAATGAGATTGAAGTTGAAGTAAATCATAAGCACTCTATCAAGACACTTCCTTCGGAAACCGATGCTCGTCCAAGTTTTGCTTGGGACAACGCTTTTTTTACTGATCCAGGTCTCATCTTTTTTACTTCAACTATGATTTTCACATTTTAAAACGTGTTCATCATATTCTTTACGCTACTTGATTAGTCAATACTCAATTATTTCACTATTCCACTATTCATCTCATATAACAATATATCAAACCTTATATTTTAGCTTTGACTCTGTATATTCAAGGCTGACATTGTCTACTTATGCTAAGGTGTTCTTGACGCTGAGGAGTTGTCTCTTATGAACAATGGTTTCACCAGTAACACAAAGCTTCGTAAGTCCGCAGATTCGATGACGACGACAACTCAAGGAAGCAGATTTTCTGTAGCGAGCATTGAATTTGATCTGTTTCACGAGTTGAGAGCCTCTTTACGTAATTCACCGAATGTGAAGCAGACAGTAACTCGAGAGAGCCACCGTAAGTTACCAGATGGTAAAAAGGTAAAACAAGAATCACCGAGCAACTTTTATATACTCATAATCAGTCATTTGCTTTCATCTTAACATAATCTGATTTTGTTTGTCAAAGAGGACTAAAGGGTACAAACAAAAAGATCAACCTTTGAGTCTCATTCCTCAACCAAAAGTGTCTTTTTCTTCTTCTTCTTCTTCATCCACCATCTCCAAACCTTTGACTCCTTGTCAAGCTACCCGCGAAAAGAAATGTGTTGCGAGTGAACTCGGTGAGAACATGATTCATCTTCTTCTTTTTCTTCAATCAATACCCTTAAAATTTGTGTATCCTTTTGTTTGATTTTGAAGGAAAAACTAGGGGAAAACACAAGAATCATGGGTTTGAAGAACAATCTGGATCAAAATCTAACATAAGGTCATCTTATTCAAGTTACGCATTCAAGTATTTGACATCATCCTCCTCTGGTCTGAGGTTACCACTTCCAAAGATGAGTTTTTTCGACTCGGTATGCTTCCAAAGAATTACGTTTAATTGAACGTAGCAACTATCTCGTAATATAAGTCTTGTGATGATGAATAAAAAAAGCTAACTTTTGTTACAGCAGGAGAACGGAGAGAAAGAAAACAGAGAACCAAATGCTGTTGAAGCAAACAGAAGAAGAAGACACAAATCCAAACTTGAGACTTCTTCTTCTACACCAGAAAACCGCAGCATTCTGGGGCAACGCAAGATGCGAAAGTGAAAAACGATCAATGATTTATTTTGGTATTGGATGCGTTACAAGGAATCGTTTGCATGTTTAGCCGGTGTTCCTTGTTGGATAAGTCAACTGTCTCTCTTTTTTATATCTTTGGTTGTAGTAGTCAACTGTCCCAAAAAAGGCATGTTCTAAAAGTCGGAGCTGAAAATGAAAACGAATCGAAAATGATTTTTTGACGGGTCGATTAGTCTCAGTCAATAAATTTTGAATTAATAAGACCACCTCCAATGGTGGTTTTTAATTAGGGTTCTAAGCCCAAGAGTTAAGCATACAATTCGTTACCTTTAGATATACACAATTAATCAGGTTTTTCAACTTGTGGAGAAGGGAAACCAATCATTCAAAGAGTCTCGTTTTGAAGAGGTGAAAGCTCTTTTGAGATCTTTCTTGGCCTTGTTACTTTATAGATTGGATTGTCTGAGAAATTTAGACAAAATAAATTATACTTACAATATAAAATAAATTTTAAAATATTTATTATTTATTCTTTAGAACTCCAAGTTGGAGGAAGAAAAAATTAAAAACTCTTAAAAAAGTTCTTAACTTTTAATTATGCAAAATTTATATTATTAGTATTGGTAAGAACTCATGATGAGGGGTTCTTACCATTGGAGATAGCTCCAAAAAAACTTACTGTTGAATTTTTAAAATACCTTTATAACATGTTACTTGAGATCGTATATAATTCATTCCTTAGAAATATTTAGTAATTCAATCCAATGTTCCTAAGCTAAAGTTTTTTTCTTTAAAGTTTTCTTAAGCTAATGTTCTACTAATTAAGTTGACGAACCGCTCCTTTTTACACCATGCACGTGCTATTTATAACAAAGAAAATATAGTACACCTAATTCAAAGGACACCACCCATGGACGGTTCATCATCTGCATACATCCTACTTAGTTATTCTATAAATTGGACTCAAATTCCTGAGGACAAGCATAGCAAACATCATTGCAAAGTACATAAACAAAAGAGAAAGAAAATGGCAACCCAGTGGTGTCCTTATATTGGTTTTTCTTTCATCCTCATTTACTATATTTTTCATAATTTGACATTGCTACCGCCCTGAATTGATTTCTTTCATCATTTCTTTTTCGTTCACGTCAAATCGATTATATGTATTATCTATATGTTTCGTACATATATATGGCTTCAAGTCATTTAGATTAACTGCAGTTTGCTTGCATGTGGAGTTTCACAGTACATGTGGAGTCTCTTTTACTAACATCGGTTTCTAAATTTCTACATTGTATTAAGTGATAACTAATATTTACCCAAATACCGATATCTAAGCTGGGAGGCATATATAGTATTATTAGGGAATAGGGATATATGCATATTAATTATTTGATTAATTCCATAATAACCGATCGATGGATCCATTGATCTCTATACTGCCAAATCCAAATGATTTATCAATCTAATGTGGTTGCTTTGACCGCACACAGGGAAGAACTCATGGCCGGAGCTTTTGGGAACAAATGGAGACTATGCGGCTTCGGTGATAAAAGGAGAGAACTCGAGCCTTCAAGTTAACGTGATTTTGGTTGGAACTCCGGTGACTCCGGACCTCAGGTGCGAACGCGTTAGGGTGTGGGTTGATGAAAGCCGTCTCGTCGTCAAAACCCCAACCGCCGGCTAGACAATGTATATTGACCACAATTACGTACATGCGTTGTACTAATAAAATAAACTATATAGAGCGCATGGTTGGTTGGTCATAATGTGATATCTATCGTTTGAATTGCTGTAATGATTGTAGTTTCTATATAACACGTGATGTGGTGTATATTTTGGCAGCCCTAGAGATATAGAAACTAAGCAAAAATAGTACTCCCTATGTTCCTTATAGTTTGATGTTTTGGAGTTTTTTCTTGTTCTACAAAGTTTGATGTTTTGGAATAACATCATTATTACTTTTACTTGTAACCTATTACCAATAGGGAGAGGAGAGAAGTAAAACAAAAATTATTAAACTAACAAACAAATAATTAAATAATACAAAAATTATTTTTTTTTAATTTACGTGTAAAACCCAAAACATCAAACTTAAGGGAACAGAGGGAGTATTTATTTAGTGAAAAGGCAAGAGTTGTTTATTACAAGAGTGATGAGAAAACAACAAAGGCTAAATAAAGATTATGAAAAATTTACAAGAAGAGAATTTGGTCATCATCCAACAAGAACGTAGATAGCATAGATGATCCCAGGAATGTAACCCAGTATCGTCAACAACAGACAGATCCAGAACTCTACCTGCATTCATAATTAAGACATTAATTATCAATAATCAATTAACGATTCATTCATCAATAATCAATTAACGATTCATCCATGTTGCTTACCCCACAACCATATCGGAGGAAAACGCCGACGGGAGGTAGAAGAATCGCCAGAATAATTTCCAAGAAAGTTTCTGATCCCATTTTTGATGTTTTGGAGAAGAAGAGAAAGAGAAAGAGAAAGAGAGAGAGGTTTTGTGGACAGACAAAAGCGAAGTGGTGGGATTTGAAGTTGGTTAAGAAGTAAAAGAAGAGGTTGGTGTTTGACACGTGTACTGCTTGCAGTGTATCACGTGACACGTGGAGACGCATTCGTAGCGATGAACACGTCAAACAAACTGCTTTACTTCAAAACTGCTTCCACTAATTCCACGGGATCTGACAAATATTTTAAATTTCTCTTTTTTTTAGAGGCCAAGAACATTTTCTTACTTTAATGTTTATGATTCGAATCTGTTAAACTCCATACCCTGTTTTTAAAAGTTTTATTTTGAAAAGATTAATAATTTATCACTCACTAGATTTACATATTAAAATCGATATTGTGCAACGAAAAAATACCTAACTTGATGGAATGAAAATATTTTTTTTTTTTTTTTTTTTTTAATATTCAATTAAAATCCCAAATGGGCTGGGCCGAAGCCTTACACACAGAGAAGCCCAGATACAAAAAAGAGAAATAGTCAGTTAAACGGAACAGTAAAAAGAGCTCTGTCCTTGTTGATACTTGGTCGCAGAATGACCTAACATGAAAATATATAACATGAAACATATTACATTGACAGTTTCAAAAATTTCTAGAGTTTTATTGACCTACTAAAAAATATAAGAAAAATGAAAATAAAATCTTTGGTTATCTTCCAAAGTGAAACCTATACAACTTTTCTCCTAGTTGACAAAAGGGAGAGTAACAGGACATGACTCATGAGAAACTTAAATACAAAAAAATGCGGAACATAGAGGACAAAAACCTGCTCAATGCTAATGCTAAGCAGTAATTAAGCAGCCCATACACATACATATATCCGCAAAGATTAAATTATACTTAAAAAAAGAAAAAAAAAAGAAGTGGTGGAAAATTGGGGTCATTAAGGTTTTGTTTCTTCAACTCACATTTAAACCCATTTTGCCAAAACCAGTGTCTTGCATCATATCCACGAACTCGCTGTAATCTATTCTTCCATCCTGACAAAATTAATCATATAACACCATTAAACAACAATGTGCATGCAAGTAACTATAGAAAAAGGATAGCAAATGCAGATTAAATCAATTTTTTACGTTGTCCTTATCGACTTCGCGTAAAATGTCGTCCAAATGAACATCCGCTAAGCCAAATTGCTTGCAAGCTTGTTGGAGCTCGTCTCTGGTTATATAACCACTTCCATCTTGGTCAAAATAAGAGAATGCTGTGAACAAATGGTCTTCTTTCTCTATTTTGTTCAAATGCACCATCGCTGCTATAAACTCTCCATAGTCTATAGTCCCACTGTTATCTATATCCGCCTGATCAAATGTTCAATTTTCCTAATTATTATCTTATCTGACACATATCATATAGTAAACAAAAGGTGATTAAGTATAAAAATGGACTTACTGCTTGCATTAATCCTAATATTTCTGAATCTTTAAGGTCAGCACCAACTCTGTCTAAACCTTTCTTGAGTTCTTCCAGAGTGATGTGTCCACTATTGTCTGTATCTATCATCTTGAACATTTCCTTCAATCCTGCTATCTCTTCCTCTGACAAGCTTTCTGCTATTACCTGAAGCAAATACATCACGTATAACTCTCTATCTTGCGCATAATCTGGTATAGATGATATAAACCAATTTAAAATGTTTACCTTGATAGCAATTTTCTTGAGCTTGTTCATGGCTGAAAACTGTTGCAAACGACTAAGGACAGCAGAATCAAGAGGTTTATCAAGAGCAACACCATCTACTCTGGCCCAAGGATGACCTGAAACATAAATTAACGTTTAAGAAATCTTTAAAGTTAGCTCTATCCTTGCTCTTTTTGATTCAAATTTGGAAAGCAGAGCACTAACAGAGAACTTCATGAGTAGTCATTCGCTTCTTAGGGTCTCTGATTAGCATCCGACGGACCAAATCTTTAGCACTTTCTGATACACTAGGCCATGGTTCTGATATAAAATCAAGATCACCTTTCAAAACCTGCTCAAAGATCCCCTGTTCCGTTTCTGACATTTAACAAATTCAATCAGTCTCTACCACTGAAACATACTTGAAACATGAATCAACAACTGTCTCTTACCATCCCAAAACGGAGGAACACCACTTAGTAAAATGTATATAATAACTCCAGCACTCCAAACATCACATTCATGACTATAATGTTTCCTTAAAACTTCTGGTGCCACATAATAAGGACTCCCAACAACATCAGTGAATGTTTCTCCTGTAATCACAACATATATATTGTCAAGAAAAGACCCTATTGATCCTCCTCACTCTGCACAATATTTATACCTGGTTTAAAGAAGACAGAGAGACCAAAATCAATAGTCTTGAGAGCAGCTTCTTCATCTCCACTAACAAATAAGAAATTCTCAGGCTTAAGATCACGGTGCATCACACCAAGAGAATGACAAGCTTCAATAACACCAACAATGATTCTAGCAAGTTCAGCAGCTTTTTTCTCAGTATAATGACCTCTCTGTATAATCCTATCAAATAACTCTCCACCTGCACAAATCTCCATCACAACATGAACAGCTACTGCATCTTCATACGCACCAACGATTTGAATCACGTTTGGATGACCAGACAAATGATGCATTATCTGAATCTCTCTTCTAACATCTTCAACATCCTCAGGTGTTGTTAATTTCCTCTTAGCTATCGTTTTGCAAGCAAACTCTTTACCTGTCTTCTTATCTACGCAAAGAAACGTTGTTCCAAATTGTCCTTGACCTAATTTTCTCCCAACACTGTATATCTTTGAGATTCTCTGTTTTTCTCCCAAGAACTGAGTCTATTTGTAAACCTGCGCTTGCCATACGTTTCATGTGCGCTTCTTTCTTCTGTGGCTTTGAATTCGCATCTTCTTCGACGGTTTTGTTCTCTGGGATAGGTTTTGGTGGTGGTTCTTCGTTCGCCATTTTCACCTGAGGTGGTGGCGTGCTTGGTGTTGGCAACGTGGGTTGTGCTGGATCCACGGTGGAGGAAACGTGAGGGTTACTATCGTCGCCATTAACGCTCTTATCGTTCTTCTTTCGACTGCTCTCGTCTTTGCTGCTCTTAAGGCTATCGTCTGGTTTCTGATTACGCCACACAGCAGCACTAACGGATTGAAGGAATCCATTAGGGTTCAGATTCGGACCCACGCATGTGTTTCCCATTCAATAATTTTAACCTAAAACTCACAAAACCTAATGTTTGTTTTTCTCTTCTCTCTGTTTGAGATTATCTATTACCTCTCCGACAATGAAAACACGAACCACTCATTAGCTTCATCAACGTAAATGATGAATTCATAACGAATTTTGCTGTGTCTTCAAAATCGACACAGCTTGGAGAAAACCTGAGATAATGAATTGGCCAACCTACTGGCTCCGAAGCTACCTTCTTCTGCACGTTTTCTGGAAGGAAATTGTCTAGAAACGTCGTGGGATTGTAAAATTTGGCCGAATGATTTGATTCGGAGAAGATCTGATGAGCTGATGATCTGATGACCAGAGGAGGGGAAGAAGGAACGAGAGAGAATAAGGAAATGATTATGGCATGGCCGTCCATTTTTACGAGAAAATATGGAAAGTTTTTACAGAGCCCAATTTTAGAAGAGGACTCACTTTTTTCAATTGTTTTCTTTTTATCTTTAACAATTAATTAAAAAAAATTCAATGTATAACGTTGAGTGATTTTATTATAGGAAAAGAAGTGCAAAGACTTGTAAATTTATAAGAAGTTTGATTGAAGAAAAAGATATATAATAAGAATATTTGCAGAAACATTAGTTTTGAAAAAATGATTCCTACCAAAAAAAAGTGTTGAAAAAATGATTTGTAAGTGAGTTATGGAATTATGTGTTTCCGATTTTTCAAAAATGTAATATTAAGTCTCTTCTCGGCTGTTGTTAAGGTTCGAACAGTCCACATAGCCATTTCTTATTTTGATCTCCATCATTTATAAATTCCTTATTATAAAAAGTTTTAATTAAGTAATTGCTATGCTCTGTAAGGCTGTAACGATAAAATTTAAATAGATATATAGGCTTTGTGTAACAATGATTTCATAAAAATTGAAATTCATCAAGTAATATAAACATTTATTGTAAATCCCCGCATGTTTGGAAAATTTATTAGTAAGAATAAGCAATAATAACATTTTAAACAATTAAAAAAAAAAAAACATCTCCCACTGTTGACATTTTTTTTTAATAGAATCAGTGTAGATTCAGCACTATCTCGGGCATGACAGAAATAAATAAAAGTGTAGCTATTTTCTTTTTCTCTTTTTTTGGTCATCACTTTTTTTTTTTTTTTGAAAGAAGATAAAACTGAAGAAACCAACAATTAGACAATTAGTAACCGATCATATGCTTCGTCTGTTCGTTCCAAAACATCTTAGACTGCTTCACCATCTCAGACCGTTCACCCATCATCCTCTCCTTCCAATACTCTTTGCTTCTACAAAAAAAAAATGATGCCTTCATTATATATCTCATCAATAATTCTTGCAATATTTGATTTCCATGGATAAATTTTGAACAATCTATACCACCACAAGAGGAAATATAGATAATTATGAGAGACTAACTTATAACGAATCCAAACCTTTAGCCCTTTTAGTATTTTGAAGTACAAAAATTCGATCAAAACTTCATTTTCTAGTAACTTAACTAATGAAAACATCATTTTGTCAGGTACATATCATAATAGCCATCAGTTCAAAATTTATGGACACATATAAAGTGGTTTGGTGCCATCTAAAGTTTACTATTTGTCTCACCTTATCTTTAAGAGAAGATGCAGCTCGATCATGTGAACCGCTTCTGCGTAAACTCCAACCTACCGCAAGAAACAATCAAGATCAACATCATATATAGTTAAAGGAAACAAAACTTGATGAGATGTTTAATGTTGCAAGAATCTAAATTACAAACCTCTCTGCAGATGGGACATTTGGAATTTTTTGGTGCTGCTTTAATGCCTTGGAAGATCATTACAGAAGCAGCCGAGCATGCACATGCTTTACAAAATATGTGACCGCACTTTAAAGCGTAGGGATTGAATACCGTTTCCTGCCCAATTAATCCACAACAAATTATTACTCTTCACCTCCTTAGAGAAATGATTTTAATAAGTAAACCACATTTTTCTAAGTAAGAGGCAGAGTAATTTCTCTTACGAGGCAGATTGCGCAAGTTAGATCAAACTCGAGCTCTATTGAATTAGGCAGCATGAGTTGCATCATAGGTTGATCGTCGTTGATGAGATAATCACAGGAGACGCGGCCAAACGAGTTCTTGAAGTTTCCAACTTTGTCAAGTCCAGTATTGATATAAAAGGCTCCAAGTTCTATGAGCCAAGGTGAGTGCAAAAGCTCTATGCGCTCCGCTCGCATTTTCAACTTGAATTTCTTACCATTCACCGAGCTATGCACCTGAAAACATTATCAATAGGTTTAATGAGGTTGCAATATTTCTTCACATGCAATATATTCTCTAACCTTGTCATATTTCTTGAGGATTTTACGGATGGCAATCGCATTCATGGTGATGTACTGAATCAAGAATTGGCCCTCTTGGAGTAAAGCTTGTTTTTCATCCGTGAAGCATCTGCGTAGACTCATCATGTATCTCTGCATCCCAGTGGCTACATGAAGATGGAGAAGATGCCTCACTCTTGACCTGAAGCATCCCGCTATGTCAGAAACTTCCTTCATCAGCTCCGCAAAGAACATCTCATCACACCCTGAATTGTAACACCATCATTAACATCAACCACCTTATCTTGATGAATAAGGAAAAAATACACTCACCAACTAGACAAGTTCATATCAAAAAACATTTTGATTATCCTGTTAATTAGGATCCCACATCAAAAATAAATAGAATGTACCTAAAGTAAGATGTATGAGATATTAATAATTTGAATCAGAAAGCATAAAACGTAGCATGGTATTAGATCCCGATTTTAACCTAAGCAGGGAAACCAAAATAGGTTATGTTTTCTGATCCTAAAGTGGGATTCACTTTAAGATAGGTCGGATGACCATCATCTTGAGGGAAACGATTCCACATCGGAATATAAAAAGACATGAACTTATTATTTATCAACTCATTTTCAATTGGTTATGATCTTTTTAAGTGTGAAGACTAGAAGGAAATTAAGGGAGAAAAGATATACATACAGGAGCAAGATTGGCATTGGCATGAATCAGACAAAGAAGTAGCCGATGAGACGATGTGTTCATCATTAGATCTTGTGGAGTTACATGTCTTGCATTTCTTCAACACTTTCTTGAGTTTCTTATATTCTACATGACGACATTTTTCTAGGAACCACTCCTCTTCTCCATGTAGATATTCCGTAAACGTCTCTCCAAACTTCATCTTCTTGCATAATACACAAATCTCAATCTTAGCCTGCAATACTATATATATATATATCAATATGAGATACTTTCCAATGGAGTAAATAAATCAGTTGTTTTCTAGTAAATTCCCTCCTTGAAGAAAGAACAAGTTAGGGAAGGCAAACATCAAATGGTAACAGATTTATATTGGAAAACATTGGAAATTTTGAGTGAATTTGAGTACGTCCCAAAAGACAATAATCCTATTACTACTTTTCTATAGAAACGAATTGACAATTGCTTACAGAGAGAAATATCATCAAAAGAAAATTAAAAGGAGATCAAAATATATCGAAGCAAATTCACCTTTTGTCACGTCAAAACCAATGAATTTATTCAGTTAATTAAGATTAGCATAATCTGGAAAATTCGACAGGAGAGCTTGGTGGCGGAAGACGATTAAAGTCGCTTTTAACAAAAGGAAGAGAAAAAAAAAAAATCGATTGGGTATTCAATTTCCTATTTTTAGGGTTTTGTTATGCTTTTTCGGTATTTTTAGGGTTTTTGTTAAACAAACAAATCACAGCAAAGTTGCTTTGGTACAATAATAGTTTCGTTTTAAACGGCATGCCACTTACGTGTTAGAGTGTTAGAGACCAAGAAAGCGCGTCCATAATTTGATCCCATGACTGCTACATTGTCCAATATTTACTTCTAATAAGTCATCGCAATTTTGGGGGATAAAATGTGAATTATAATTACCAATGAAAAACTTTTATATACATCAAATCGGCAAAACTAATTTATTTCAAAATATCGAAAATAATAACAAAAACATATGAAAGGTTACAACTCCAACTACTCATATGTGAACCATTGAGAGAGTAGATTGCTGAGAGTCTTTTGGTTGATCCGAGCTAGAAGGGAATTCATCCTTGATGGTTCGTTCAATCTGCTTGAAGATTTCCTGTTACGTTGGTCCAACCGTTCTATCAAATTCTAAGCTATAGTTGTGTTCCTACGTCAAAATGAGCAAATGCAGAATGTGGAATCGAAACAAATATGGTTGTAATAGAGCATGCAGAATATGTAAAAATTAAAATAAATGTGGTTAGTGTGGATCGAATGATATGAAACCAATCTTAAGTGGGTGAAACAACATTTATAATAAATGGTGCAATTTTTTTTCTTTTTTTTGAATGATGAGTATAACATTCGAATCTAAATACTACTCCTAATATTTAACTTTAATTCTCTCTAAATTAATCTTAACACTATTAACGTAGATTGTTTTCAAATCTGGAATGTAATAGGTTGGGTTCTTGCAATATTAATTGTCATTCGAATTTTAATTTTTCCCCATTTATTATTCCAAATATCACAGTATACTGTAAACTCATTACTTTCAATAGTTCTTCTTTTTCATTAAAAAAATACCTGGTGAGTAGTGTGATTAAGCACATATTAGAGAATTCCCAAAAAACTAAAGTTAAAGTTGTCAAATAATCAATTCACGCACTAAAATTGCTATCATTCCTTAGATGAAGTCTAAAAAATGCCTTTTTACTGTGAACCCACGAACTAGTATATAAAATGATTAAAAATAATTCAACAGGAGTATGAATGAAGTTTCAAGGAACGATGCCTTATACAAAAAGGTTAAACTGATGAGACTATGATATGCTTGAAAGAATCATCAAGCCTCCACTTTTTCTTTTATGTTAAACGAACCTCCTCTTTAAACGATGGCCTTTGGTATTGGAACTTCCACTAATAGCAAACAATAAATAGATATTAAGAAAATATGAGTGGGTTCCGAAATTAGGAATCATGGGAGGCTATAGACCATATTTAATGTTGATTTTCAATGATTACATTGAACCCAAAACACGCTCCCTTCTACATTTTGCTGATTGACAAACACAAATTTGTATGGAATCAAAACTCTTCTTTTATTTTTGCGTGTGAAGAAACAATTGAAGACAGTATTTTAAAATGAGAATTCCTTTTTGACAAAAAAGAAATATCCAGTAAGAATTTTTTTCTTCAAAACTCTTTTTTATTTTTGTTACTGGTGTCAATTTCGCACTAGTTTTCTTCCTAGCTTTCTCAATGGCTAACGCGAGAACAACCCCAAGATAAGAAAGAGAAAAAGTCATGCTTAGTATTTTTTTATTTTTGGTAAGAAGATGCTTAGTATTGTTACACATCTCTTCTTCGAATATTTTGCATGTCTTTGGGAAGTCTGGCTTATATTTATAGTCATGTTTGCCTTCATAAAGATAACTCTAATTATATACCACATTTATGTACCATCAAATTAAGTACACATATACTTTTTCTTGAACTCTCAGTTTTGAATTTGTGGGATAAAACATACAACCTTATCTCTTATCTTTGGTAGTTCTACTTTTTGGTAGTTCTATTTCTTCCAAGTTTATTTCAATTGTATAGAATCATATTAAAGATATGCCTAGTCTCCTATCTTTGGTATGAATTATGGGACGCATACCAAACTATCTTCTAACACCTTCCGTGCCAACTCGTGATAGAATGTTGAGATAAGGCATCATGACGACTGACGAGTATGTTTTCATAGATCACTTTTACTTCCAATGTGGTTTTGGAAATTGCTAGCTCTACTTATTTTTTTTAAATGTATAAATTATTCATAGCTTATTCCGGCTTCCTCTTTTGAAAAATATACAAGTTTGATTTAATTATTTTATTATTATATACAAATAGTGTTTCTCCAGCTTCTATCGAAAGCAATTTAACAAAAACGAAAAAAAATGTATAAATTTACCTTTCTCCCTAAATATAATTAGTTTAAGTACTACAATAATCTTTCAATTTCAACAATACTATTTTGGCCTATTTTTTCTAAAATAATGTTTATTACAAAAAATGATGCAGAATCAGAGGCAACTTTTGTTATGTGGAAATCTGACTCCGTTTTCTTTTTGATGCCACGAACGGTCGAAGAAGAGGCAACTTTGAGTTTAAAAGTAAGATTCTATTCGCAAAAAGAATTGGGTTGTGTGAACTATCAGTACTTTTCGTCCAACTCATACATATGCATATACGTAAAGTTTAGTATTATTCTTATTGAAAAAGACAAACAATAATTCCCAACCAACCATAATATAGTAATTTCATGCCTGTTTGCAGTCCTTTTTGTTTATATAGTACTGTATTACCGAAAAAATTGACTCCCAAAAGTTGAATTTAACAACTCATGAAAGTTGACCAAACAACTCATGGTTTTGAATTTACTCTATTTAGAATCTATATATATAATTAGAGAGTCTTCTCTCCATCTAGGGTGTCCACATCAGCATCCATGTCATCATATTTTACATTTTTGTGGGCTCCACATATCTTCTTTATTAAAACAACAAATATTAAACTAAAATTTAATTCACACATTAAATAAAAACAATAATTAATTAAAATTAAATGAAATATTATGAGAAAACAAAAAATAAATATACAACTTAAAATATGAAGATTTTAAATCGAGATTGAATAAATATAAATTAGATAATTATATTTTAACATATGAGTAAATATTTTAAAATTGTTAGAGATAGAAAAAAAAAATTTATCATATATTTTAATGGTACAACAATTATTTTTAAGAGTTACAATTATTTATTAGTAGTAAAGAAAATAAGAGTAACCAAATTTAAAGGTTTTTACTTATTTCATGAAAATAGACATTCAAAATGTGAGTACCGATTAAAAAAATAAGAAGGATTACGACATATTATTATTTATAATTATAATACAATATAAATATTTAAATTAATAAATGTTTCTATATTATTAATGTTTTCTAAGTTAAAAAGTGGTGCTTTGGTTTTTTTAAAAATGAGTACCTAAAAAGAAAAATTAAATATTAATCAGTGTTTAAAAAATTAACATAGATTGAAAAAAAACTAAGGTGATTTGAAATAAAACAAAAAACTATGCTAAACATCACAAATACAAATAAAATAATCTTATAGAATAATAAAATTGTATAATAATAATATTTGAGAATGCTATTTGGAAATTAGAATAGTAATGGTAGATTGAAGAGTTTTTCATTAGAACTAAGAAGAATTTTGTTTATCTAAAAAATAAATATATTTTAAAATTAGAATATTTTTTATGAGTTCGTAAATGTCACATTTTAGAAAAATTAACATTAAGAATACTATCTAGAATCAAAATATACGTTAAATTATATATGTAGAAAGATAAGGTGCAAAATATGAATAGGAATGAGTCCATATATGAGATTTGTTGTCTATAAAGCAATTTTAGATGCACCCAAACATGGTAAAAAAAATCTTATAACAAACATCTCTCCAGATTTTTGTTTCCGATATTCACTTTAATAAAAAGATCATGAAATTTATAAAAAAAATTGAGTATTGAAAGATATGAAAGAGAAAATAGATACGATCTAAGGAGAAAAGACAGTAGATATCGGGAGACGACGAGTGAATCATAGGAGATAACGAAAAAATTCGTAGTGAAAAGTGTGAATTTTTTTTTAATAATTTGGAAAGATAATACATGTGAGTAAAGTAAAATATTTTAAGATTCAGTTGATTATATTTATACTCAAAAGTAAAAGTTTTAAATTAAATCCCGCGCAACGCGCGGGTACACAATCTAGTTAACCTAATGCCAAGGTTGGTCTGAAAATCTTATTAAAGCTATGCTAAGGTCTAATATGAAATAATTCAATGAAATTCATATATATTAGGTTTTGTTTGAATAAATTTGTTTTGAAAAAAAATCCTCCTAAATTTTTCATTTACTTATGTCTGATTCGTACGAAGAATCAGAAATGGGCTTGATCATTTTCAAATATTTTTTTTGGACTTTCAAAATTCCTCCAAAAAAACAAAAATTCCACACCTAATCTTCAAATTATGATCATTTTGTCTGGACTTTAAAAATTGGGCTTGATAGTTTTTGGCATTGTAGAATAAAAATTCGTTCGCGTCAACACTTCAACAACTAATTACAACACGTAAGGTTTTGTCATGACTGAATAACTATGA